CTGATCCCCAGAGCTGGCCTGGCTGATCCCCAGAGCTGGCCTGGCGATCCCAGGAGCGAGCTGGCCTGGCTAATCCCAGGAGCTGGCCTGGGGATCCCAGAGCTGGCCTGGCGATCCCAGGAGCTGGCCTGGCTGATCCCAGGAGCTGGCCTGGGGATGCCAGGAGCTGGCCTGGATGATCCCAGGAGCTGGCCTGGCTGGTCCCAGGAGCTGGCCTGGGGATCCCAGAGCTGGCCTGGGGATCCCAGGAGCTGGCCTGGGGATCCCAGGAGCTGGCCTGGGGATCCCAGGAGCTGGCCTGGCTGATCCCAGGAGCTGGCCTGGCTGGTCCCAGGAGCTGGCCTGGCTGATCCCAGAGCTGGCCTGGCTGATCCCAGGAGCTGGCCTGGCTGGTCCCAGGAGCTGGCCTGGCTGATCCCAGGAGCTGGCCTGGCTGGTCCCTGCGGGTCCCTGCCCTCTGCAGCCCCCGTGGCTCTGGCCTTTGCTGACTCTCCTCCCTCAGATCCGGAAGACCACGGCCAGCCAGGTGTACGAGATGCTGCTCACCTACAGCGACGTGGTGGACCCTGCCATCCTGGAGCAGGCCATGGCCATCCTCAGTGACACCAACTGGTGCGTGCTGTGCTGCCCAGAACAGCCCCTGTGCCCTGCAGGCACCAAAATCCAGTGCTGTGAGAGCTGGGGGAGGAGGCTGTAAGGAGTGGCAGGTTCAGCTCTTTATTGGTTCAGCTCTTTATTGGTTCAGCTCTTTATTGCTTCCACCACAGCAGGGCTGCAAGGAATTCCTCTGGTCTAAAGAGCTCTCCAGGACTCTGGCCACTGGAAGGGGATGTATAAAATCACCATCAGATAAAGTAAAATAGCCATATTTTTCTAACAACATAAAAAGGGAGGAAATCTTGGAGGTTTTCCATGAAGCAGAGACTGGGCTGTGCAAACAGTCAAACTTCAACTGCACAGACAGTTTCTTGGCATTTGTGAGCACTGGCAGGATTTGGGAAAGGAAGGATCTCTGCAAGCTGGAAAACAACAGAATTAGCAGAACAGCTCAAATCTCCCATGAAATGTAATTACTCAACATGCTACAAGCCTTGTATTCAGGCAAAGATTTGGAATTGGAGCAGTTTAGATGTTTCCCAGGATAGGATGGCATGAATTAAACAAACACTTCATAGAATACAATTTATTTGTTTTTTACTTACCTCCTTCCAGGAGCAGTTCTTTATAAGCATGATCCAGTGACTTTTAGAGCAAAGGAATAATTTCATGAGCACCTTTGCAGTGACAGGAGCAGGGAATCAGCATTTTGGCACTGGATTTTCCCCCTTCTATTCAAATTCTATTTCAAATTTTATTTCACATTCTAGCATTGGGCATTATTACCTGGGCAGGTTTGAGAAAATGCAGAATTTTAAGATAATAATTACTTTATTAGTTTTGCTGCCTTGTTAAACATTTTTCCTTGTCACAGACCTGGGCCATGGGGCTGCTGCCCCAAATAGGAGTCACAGAGAACAGACAAATATAGAAAAATATATAATTTATTTAGTCATTATATTAAATGGCTTTTTGTCTTTATTGACGTTTCATGGAAATAAATTTATCCCAGACAAGCTCAAAGAACAAATACACCTTAAGGGTGGCTGACAGAGTTGCAGATTTCATTTGACTTCTGTGTAGTTTCCAGTTTATTTCTGTGCTTGAGCTTAAAGAACTTTATATTTGTGAAAAGAAAGCTGAGTTTATCATCAGAAGGGGTGGCTGCTGCTCTTTTTCTGAATTTTCCAGTGCACAACTGGAACAAGAGGGAGGTTTGAAGGAGTGGCAGCCAGCAGTTCTGCTGTTGCAGTTCCCTGTGCCTGCAGGTGGAGTTTAGGATTGAGGTGGGTGTGACTCAGAGCTCCCCCAGCAAACCTGGGTTTTAGAGCAGGCTTGCCCAGGAGCTGCACAGGAATCTGTGAGCTGAGTGCTGTCACCAGGGATGGTTCCAGGGCCAGCACTCCCAGTGCTGCAGGAACAGCAGTGGCACTTCAGCTGTGCTCGTGAACAACTGCGCTCCTAAATCAAAGCAAAACACTTCCCCAGGAAAACACTCCAGAAAAATGAATATTCTGGTTTCACCCTGTCATTTTTAGGGTGTGCCTGGCTTATTCTGGCTTGGAGCAAGCCCTGAGTGCCCTGCTGCTCTGTGGCCACTGCTCTGAGATGAAAGACAAAGGGCTCATTTACTCAAAATGTAATTGTTTTATCTTGGTAGATTTGAGCTATTTACAGAAAAAGAGATTTGAAGTTGTTGCTGAGTGTCACAGTGAGCTGCTTCTTTTCCTCAAGCTCTCCCAGTGCTAAAATAATCAGTCTAAATTCTGAATTACCCTAAGTATTAGCAGCAGGAAGCCAAATGAGAATTTGAAGGAGTATGGTAATTATATTTTCCTTGTTGGGACTCCAGAGACTTTATCATACAATTGTGTCATGCAGAGTTTAAACAAATTACTCTATAAATAATACACTTTGTTCAGCCACAAGAAAGTTTCCAGTGGTAAATAAGACAAATTGTCCAAGGTGTGAAAAAAAAGGTTGAAGTTATTTCTAACTCACCCTTTTTTGCTTTCTCTTTATAGAGGGGATGGGAGATTCTTCTCCAAATCCAATCACTTTAGAGAATAAATTAAATTAACTTCTAATCAAAAGAGTTGTACAAATAAGTGGAGTTTTTTAACATAAAACCCTATAAAAGAATAGTCTTGGACATTTTATTGGCCACTGGTTACCTGGGGCAGATCTGGTGTGTATTTGTGATTTATCTGACTTAGGGTGCTACAAAAACGGTCCAACAGCCTTCAAATGTGACACAACAAAAACACTCCTGCCATCTGAAATGTGCATGAAAGGACACAGCCATTGTGGGCAGGGCTGACAGGGATCACTGAGGGAGTTTTATGGATGCTTTATGGATCTTTCTGAATTAACTGGAAATAACCTTTGCTCTCCCAGGGAAGCAGAGCTGCCCGTGGTGAGGGAGAGACGGAACTGCCTCTGCGACCTCCTGGAAGTGCCCAGGCCCCAGCTGGTGCCCAAGGTGAGGTGGGAATGTGCTCCAGGGGCTGCTTTTTCCATGGAGGTGTCCCTGGGGATGTTCCCAGCCAGCTGCAGAAGACGTGGGATGGCTGGAGCTGCTGCCTGAGGCCCTCCCAGTTCCAGAGAGCATTCCAGGCTGGCAGCGCCACATTCCAGACACAGATGTGCAGCCACTGGGGAAGGGGAAAAGACAGGAACTTCTCAATTTCAGCAGCAAGATGATGACATGAGGTGGTGCAGAGCACAGCACTGCAGCACTGCCTCTGTGGATGAACAGCATACAAAACCATAAAGTGTGTGTGTGTATATATATATATAAAAAATGTATATTTTTAGATAGTTTGGACATGCCCACCCAGCTCAGTGTTTCAGAAGTACAGAACTTTCTGCTTTGGTCGGGGTTCTAGAAGAGGTTTTTTAGTGTTTTAAAGAATCTGTGTTACTGTGTATATATAAATATTTATCTTTCTTTAAAGACTCATACTTAAGACACTGTGAATACCCTTCAAAGACCTCCTGCTGCCTCTTAGCAGTGTCTTCACTCATCTTCCAGTTTTTACCATCTGCTTCTAGTACAATTTTAAGAAACCTCAGCTAGCATTTTTATACTTCTGGAAAACAGGAGTCTGAACCTCCTGCCCAGCAAGGAATTGATTTTAGAAGAAAAACTGACCTGAGTGTTGCTTTTAAAAGTTTTCTAATCAAGTAATAGATAGATTATACTCAGAATAAGAGATCTTACCAGATAAACTCTCTGATCTCAAAAAAACTCCTTCTTTCAATCTTTAATTATTGAAGGCTGAGAGAAGATTGATATTTTAGGAGAGAACTGTCTCTAGGATAAACAAAACAATAAGAAATATCCAAAAATACACATCCAGGTATCTCCAGGGGAGCTGGTGCAGGTGGGATCTGGGTGTTTTGTGCTCAGTTTGGAGCTTTTCCTCTTGCTCCCCTGCACATAAGCAAACAGTCAGGGTAACTTGCAGCTCAGGGTGCCCCTGAGGAGTTGGGGCTGTCCCCAGTGCTGCTCCCAGCAGTGGGAGAAGCCAGAGAGGAGGCCAGGCATGGCAGGATAAAAAGGAGAATGAAGTTGGCTTCAGCTGAAATCAATACTTTCTACTTCTTTAAGTTTTGTACAAATAAAACTTGCTGTAGTTCAAACCACGGGGTTAAAAGGACTAAATATTTGTATTTTCTTTTCTTTTGGTTTAGCTAATTCCAGGGCTGGGAAGTGCCAGGACAGCAGTGCCACAGGACAGTGCTGCCTGCTCCATGTGAGCTGTCCTTTCCCTCTCTCCCTGGCAGAGTTCAGCAGGAGGAGGAGCAGCCCTGGAGCTCCTGAGCTGCCAGCATGGGAAGAGCTGAGCTGGGGCATCCTGAGACATCCTGCTGGATCTCAGCAGAGCTGAGCACTGCACTGCTGCCCAGGAGAGGCACAGCCTGTCTGAAAGCACACCTGTGCCACAGGAGGACAGCCAAAATTCCTTCTTTTCAGTTTTTGATGTTGCTGTCTGGCAGGTTCTTGTCATGCTCTGTCACACTGACCTGTCTGGTTTGGTGTCAGGGGTCTGTGCTTCCCTGACTGAGCAGAGCCTGTGCTTGTACACACACCAACAATTAAACTGGCCTGCTGCACTGGTCTCTTGAAGATTTATGTTTCAGAGGTGGGAATGGCAACACTCAGTGATACTGAAATCATCCCCAAGCATCAAGTGTCCCTGTGGAAAAGTCTGTCATTCCTATGTCATAATTAAACAAAAAAACCCAGGTTTCACTTCAGCTGATGTCAAAGCCTCTCTTTACAGCTCTTTATAATTAATAATAACTATGCCAAGTAACTAATTCAGACAAATAGTTTTTGTGGTAAGCTCAGTTTTGAAGAAGGTGAGTCACTTCTTCAAGCAGCTCCAGCTCATTTCTTACCCCCTACAAAATGAAATCACTCTGAAATTCATCTTTAGTGAGATCAATGTGATGGGGAGGTCAAATGCACAGACCACATCATATTGTAATTACACTGTTATTTTATGGCTGTAATTAAATCCCACTATCCCAGTAGTTGAACAGTGGGTGTGTGTGTAGACATCTCTACAAATGTGAAAGGAAGGAAAAATTCAGGCAGAGAAGTTATTTCTCTGTGAAGTAAATGCTGCAAACTGCAGGTGTTCACTTCCAGCCTGGCTGGCTCAGACTCTCTTTGGTCTTGTAGAAAGTAACTGTAAATGAGATTATTCAATACTTCTTGAGGATTCCTGCAAGCTGGACTGGCAGCTGGAATTAGTGGAGCTCACTGACTGTTGATCACAATTTACCAGTCAAACTGAGTGATGTGGAACAGTAAAACTAATAATGCACACAGTAAAAAAACCCAGTAATAACTAGTAATGTGCACAGCAAGAGTAATGCACACAGCATTACCCTGCTGTAACTGTGACCTCCCCTACAAAGGGTTACTCAGCCCAAAGATTAAATTAACAAAGCACAAATGACTAAAAAGTTCTAAACCCCTGAAGAATTTGGTTTTCCTGCACCCAGCCCCACAGGGAGCAGCACTGCCTCACCGTGGTTTAGTTAAAGTGATAATAATCCATCCCTTCCTTCAGGTTCAGCATGGCCAGGTTTGTTTCAAAGGCTCCACCTGTCAAGTCCTGTGAGGGAAGAAGAAGAAAATGAGCTCAAACTCATTTCAGGCTGTAGCAGGTTTGGGCTACTGATTCTTTGACAGAAGAAAGTCCCATTTGCAGACTAAACAAATAAACCAAGGCTCAGGGAAGTTTCTATTCAAAAATTCAGGGTATTTTGAAAATTTAGTGTTCAGATCAGTGTGGGGGCATATCAGACAACTCCCCACTCTGCAGTGCTGCTCTGGTGTTTGCCAGCTCAGACACTGGCAGAAAATGGACCAAGGCAGTGAGCTGGACCAAACAAATGGTTTGGGTGGATTCTGAGCCCTGGTGAGGTTGGCTGATAAAACAAGCCCTTCATCAAGCACATGAAGTACTCTGCAGAGTTAAAGGTGTTTCCTTTTGAGCCCAGTCAAGTTATCAGGACAGGAACTGGCTGCATTTGGTCCTTGAGCAACCTCAGTGATGTCATTAAGAAAACAGGGCAACTTCAGCATTCCTGAGCACTTCCTGGAGTCCTGAATTACTGATCTTAAGGAATGTCACCCAAAAAAACCCCAAAAATTAATGTTTGTCTGGTTGGCCCAGAACAGCAAGAGTGAGGTTTTAACTGTCAATGTTTAGGATGGGAAGTTACAGAAATGGAGTCCCACTGAAATTGGAATTGAAGGAGTTGGAGAAAAATAACTTGCTTTATAGAGGGGTTAAAAAATAAATAGGAGACCAGATGCTAAATTAAGTGGGAGAGTTAAAGACAAATCTTTAATTTCCAGAGCACAGGAAAAGCCAGGCAGGGCTGTAGTTAAATAAGAGATTTAACTACAAATTTTCTGAAAACTTTATACAATCAAGCTAGTTTAATTACTGTGACAGAAAAATAAAACCCCTTTCATTTGCAGCCGTTGGAATCCAAGCCAAGGCAGGGCACAAAGCAGCATTTCTAAGCACTTTGCTTTTACCTCCAAGCAAGAGCAAACATGGGGCACAAACCCTTGGGTGAAGTGGCCCTGACCAGCTAAAGCCACACTTTCATTCTCTTGAGCAAAACCTCAAACACAGAGAGCAGAATTCCAGCTCCAGCTGTCTGTGAAGCTGTTATAAAATACAAACTGAGCAAAGATCAGAGGATGCCTGCTTCTTCCAGAAGGATTTGCTGTGGTACCAAAGCCATGCCAGTGCTCACAAGGGAGGAACTGCCTGAAAAAATAAATGAGCCAATGCTGCTCCAAGCACATGGCCAAGAGAGTCACTTCTTGTAAACAGCCCACTCAATAAACACATCTAATCTCCAAAATCACCCTCTTAGAGCTGCAGAGGAACATGCAGGTGTTGTCTGTATCAAAAGGAAAAATAATCCCCTACCATGAACAGCAAAATAAAAGGCAATAAAGCCCCTTGAAGCACACTTCCTTCTTCAGAAAATGGTGATGAACTTAGGTTGGTAGAGAATAAGCAAGCAGAAAATGCTCAGTGGCCATGAGGGGAAAAACAGACTGAAATCCCAGCTGAAGTCAGAGACCAGAGTTTGCAGACAAGATGTTGTATAATGGTCTCATTGTAAGGGCTCCACAGATTAAATGTGCTTTAGAACAGGTTGCACAGATGTTTTGTCTGGGGACTTCCACCCACTGTTATATGCAGTATGAAAAATTAAATTAGTTGTAATAGTCCTTGCTGATCCAAGAGTTTATCAAGCAGGAGTGCAGGATGATGCCCCAAGGCACTCTGAGTCTGGCTTTACAACCCCGAGCTGGGAGCCCAGAGCTGATCATGAGGTTGGGAGTGCCAAGTTAAAAGCAGGCTGTACCAGAGGAGAGGAGATGCAGCTGATCCATCCCTGAAGAGATCCAGCACAGCCTTAGTTTTGTGTGGAGTGCAGGTTTTGGTTGCTGTCAGAGGGGTTTTTATTGTTTTTTAACACTCCAGTGTATTTGCTATTTTAAAGCTTCTGTGTTCTAACAGCAGAAAAACTGCTGGTTATCATCTAATTATATTATCAGGGCAATTAAACCAGTTGAAATGAGTTATCACAGTCAGATACAGAAGATGCTTCAGAACTGGCAGAGTCAAACAAAATGGTTCTGCCAGTTTAAAAACAAAGCCTTTGCCACACATGGGGCTGCAAAATACCTGGTCCAGAGGAGGCTGAGTGCCTGTGCTCATTGGGGTGTATTTGGTACTGGGCAAGGAAGTACAACAGATCCAGCCCCTGGGTAATTCTTAATTTTACCCAATACTGCTGATTTAAATCCCAAAACACCCTGCACAATCAGTTGGATAAAAAAAAAAAAAAGAAAAAAAAAAGAGCCATTCAACTGTAGAGCAAAAGCTGCTGGGAAAAGCCACTTACAGTGAACAGAAACTCATTTTCCTGAGGAGCAAGTGCTGCTCCTGCAGGTGAAGCCAACGCTGGGACTCACCAGCTTCACACAGACCACGAAGGGCGGAGCCGCGTCCCTGAAGTGACACACAGGAATTTTGGGTTTTGGTCTCTCCTGCAGGAGGAAGGGGTACAGAAGCACTCAGCTTACTTGCTAGCTTGGTTTTAGGAGCTGCTAAACTCTAAAAGGGGAAAAAAATGTGTTGAGCTGTGATGCTGAAGAGACCTTGCTCATTCTCTGCCTGTGTTTCCGTGCCCGTCACATTTCGGAGCAGTTGAGTGAAGTTGCACCAAATCTGAATTTGGAGCTTTCTGCTCCTGAATTTGGAGCTTTCTGCTCCTGAGAGGAGCAGCTCTCACTGCTCCACTGCTTCCTCCTCGTCTCCAAGTTCTACTTCCAGCCCTTTCCCAAACAATTCCCTCTGATCTGATGGCAATGTGTGCAGCTTCAATGGCCTGTCCCATAACGAACTATCTTCCTCTCTTTTTTTGGTTAATTTTTTGCCATTTTAGTGAACTGCATCCATTCCTGTGCCCTCAGACAGCATCAGAACAGGCACAAGAGCAGAGACAGGAGGATCTGTCCCTCCTGCTGGGAGCTGTTAAAGGGCTAAAGCTCAGCTGGGACTTCACCACAGATCCAAGCTGCAGGATTTTCTAAGGATTCACAGCAGCTGCAGTACCATCTTCTTTACAGCTGATCTGAGAAAATGGGTTTGTTTTAGGAAGACCAATGCCCAGGATCTGTGTCAGGCATACTGGGCAGTGAGTCCTCAGTGTTCCAGGCTGAAATGCTGCTCCCAGTTGCTTCCATGAGCTCAAAGCACTCCGTGTTGTCCCAGTATGGAATTGTACAGCTCCTCCAGGCTGAGCACCAGCTGTACCTGAGGAGGAGCCCTCCTGTCCCTCCTTCCCTCAGTCCCACTCCCATCAGATACAAGGATCTGGCAAGCTCAGGGTAATTTGATTCACAAGATAACTTGTTGGAAATCTTTTAATTTTGAGGGTTCTTTCCCATTATCCACCATAAACCAAATTCTACTCCCATTTGGAAGACTATCTTACCCCATCATCAGGATCCTTTCACAGTAAGTATTTTTGTCTTTCTAAACTGACTTCACTGAGTGTGAAGCTGACAGTCCTGGCTCCAGTTTGCATTCCAGTGTCCATTCCCAGCCCTCCAATCTTCTGTCACAACCTCGCTACCAAAATGAGCTGCTACACAACATACAAGATCAGTGACAAATTCCTTCATCACATTCCTCAGGACACTTGTAGATCACAATAAAGAACACAAGAGTACTTATAACTCACCTCAGATTCCTCATAGGTGTAGAATCCTTTTGTTATTTTCTTTTCATCAACATCACAAAATGCAGTTACCTGGAAAACAGAAGCAGAATGTTTCAGTAGCACCATTTCAGCTGTAATGCATCTGTGAGCAGAGCTGCAGGCATGGGGATGGACACAGGAGGAGGGCAGAGCACCCTGGGCCTCCTCTGGAGCTTAAACTGATTAAATCCTTTCTGAGTGCATCTCAAGGAGTGGAGAAAATTCTGCAGGTGTCTGTGAGCACATCCTGATCTCAGTCACTGACTGCATGAGAACACCACCAACCCCATCCTCAGGGAGTAAAGACCAGTTTCCTCATTTTGGCACTTCCACTGAAACCCAGCTGAGATGCAATAAAAGCCTCTCTCTTCCTGTTCACCCCAAGCATGGGATGTTCCCCCAGGCACCCACTGCTCTGGGTGCTCTGCAATCCCAGCCTCAATTCCAGGGCACAGCACACCAAACCTGGGAATTCCTATGCTTATGGACTTGAATTTCAACTGAAAAGTTCAGCAGATCTGATGTTTAAACACAAATAATTACTGCTTCACTTTGCTTACTCTTACTGGACTTAGGAAAGCATTATTTGCAGCCCTAGGTGCCAGATATTTCAGATGGGTTTTTATTTGCATTCCTCATAAATATGCAGGCAGAATAAATGCCTGCCATCTAAAATACACAGTGGCCTTATTTTTGAGAGCCACTAGGTTGCCAGGAACATTTTGGAAGACTTTTTAAAATAAACATGGCTATGTTTTCCTCTGACTTCCGTTGGATTTATTCCTATTATCTCCATGGAGCTCTTATGCTGAAGCAGAACAGTTGAGATAGTTAAGGTCATACAGAAATCAATTATTCTGGTGAAAGCTGGATAGCAGCTTTCATATCTTTTTAATTGCTGCATTAAAAATTGATTAACAACACTTACTGCTGAGAAAATCTGAAAAGCCAAACAGCTGTTTATTAATTTATTAAGTTAGAGAAGGCTGAAAAGGCTGGCTGGCTTTCCCTGTCTGAAATCTCTCTCACACATTTTCTTCCTGTGATTAAGATGGTTTTCTTTTACCTAAAGTGACCTCATTCTGTTTGTGTAGAGGGTTTTTCTAATACCATAATATCACTTCCTTCATTAAACATCAACGGCAAGAGAATGCAAACAAAAGTATCAAGGGACTGCAAACAAGGCTGCAAAGCACCAGGGTCCAAAGCAATGAGGGAAACGAGGGATAAACTGCAGGGGTGGGCAGGGACAGTCCTTGGAACCCCTCAGAGGGACACAGAGACCTGGAGAAGACAAAACAGGCACCAAAGGAAGAACAGAACATTAAAGAAATACGGAATTTCCACTCTGGGGCTGTGTGAGTGAGGAATCACATCAGGGGCACACCCAGAGTTTGAACTCTGTGTCAGCATTGGAATGGAAATGGAGGGGAAGGAGGGAACTCAGGAAGGTGCTGGAGGCTGTGCGAGGTGTTTGTGGCTGGTGCAGCTGGGTTGGATTGACACTCACCAGCAGCTCCCTCACAGATTAATCCACTTTATACCCCTGGCCCTATTTCCATGGCCACTGCAATGCTTTGGGGTAGCTGGAAAGTCAGATGGTGTGGATGTGTACATACACACAGATACATAAATATGTGTTACATGAAGGGAATCAGGAGTCGCTGTGGGAAGAGAAGTTCTCTGGCTGTATTCTCTTCATTCTGTGCTAACCACCTCCAAAATTCTCCATTATTCAGCAAATCTCAGTTCTATCACTTGTATTTTACTGTCCTGCAATGTGTGATCATAATAAATAATATTTAGCAAGATAAGTCTTCAATGTCAACCCAACAGAGTTCTAGGAACAAAGTCCAATATGTTGACTTGCTGTCCAAGAAATAAAGCTATTTTTGGAGCTGCTTATGCTCTTATAGATAATAAAAACCAAAATAAACCACCAAAACTTATGACACAAGGTAAAGAGAAATTCCATTTACACTTCTCTGTCAGTAACTGAGAATTCAGCTGCAAGATCTGTGCTGGAAAGTCTCACTGCTCACCCTCAGTGTGTTCTTACCCAGTTAACAGAAACCCCTGAGTGGTGCCTGCACTTCTCAGCATGAATTTCCTCCTTGTATCCAATCTCAGTCTCTGTCAGTTTAAAACCATTTCTCCTTGTCCTGTCACGACATCCCCTTGTAAACAGTCTCTCTCCAAAGGCACTTCTTGTATCACTAAATTGCCATTAATTCCAACTCTCCTCTCACTCCATCACTCCAATTTCTGGGTGTAGAAAACTCTGCCCTTTTCCACAGTGACTCCCCAGCCCCCAGAACACCCCCACACAAACCCCTCCGTGAAAAAAAGAGCACAGGTGAGTCTGTGACAGATTTCCCTTGGGAGATGGAAAGAGCTCAGACCCTTTTTGTTATCACTGAGGTATTTCCCTGTACAATTCTCAATGGGCTCAGGCAGCTTAGACCTGGTATTTACAGCAGAGTAAAACAGGTCAGACTTGAATGGGTGATTTTTCTGCAGCCTGCACACCACGTGGGTGGCCAAAATGTAAGGCAACTATTTTTCTGACACACACTATTTATTTTCCAATTAAAGCAAAGCTGTGTTTGGAGTCTAAATACAGGACTTAGGCACAGTTGTTTATCCTATAAGGAGCAGTCAGGGCATCAGGCTTATGGGAGTTATTTACTTTATACACTATCAGGATAAACCCAGAGACACCTATTTATTTTCCTGCATTAATGGCCTTCTTTCTTGTAGCTTTTATGAAGAACATCTATCCACACATGAACTCCTGTCTCCCTGTGAGAAACCATGAATTGTAAAGCCATAAAGGAGTCTCAATTTGCTGGTTTTCCCCCCTCTCCTTTTAGCAAAATTACTCTTTGGCAATACCTCTGACAGCATGATACCACTGAGTCCTCAGATCACACTTCAGTGTTACTAAAATATATGATTTATTACATGTTTTTGTTTCAAACATGTATAAAAATCTGCACAATTACAAAAATTCCAAAGGAAAGAACACTGCTAATTCTCTCAGCTCAAAACTCTGGGTATCTGCTAGAGAAGCAAGGAACTACAGTAAGTAATTTTTATAAATATGGACTGCAACTTCCATTAACAGTGGTGTTAGGGGAAAAGGAGAAATCGCCTTCTCCCTCCTAAGAGAAAGTTTACATAGCTCAGAAGATAAGAGATAACTCAGAAACAACCTCTGCTAGGGGAAGACACGTTTGAGGAAGATAAAAGCCCTTTTCTGGCTGGCTCTCCCTAACAAACACAGGGGCTCTGCAGGGCCAGGCTGGGGCTATCAGACCTCCCTGGGGAAAGGAGTTCATGGGAGCAGATCCTCCTGCAGTGCCCAGCAGGGCAGCCACAGCAGCAGCAGTGACAGAGGGTGCCCTGGGGTGCAGCTGGCACTACCTGCCTGGTGGAGCTCTGCTGTGATTGCACAACGATTTAATTGTTTGGCTCCTGTGTGCCTAGTTGGCTGCTGCAGACAGTGTTTCTTCACACTTCCCATTCCACTCAGGTTTCATAATGGAAAAACTGAAAGGTTTCATCAGCTTCACGATGTGCTTTTATGGTGAATGATCTTCACAGGATTTTATTCTCCCATCCTGGTTTCACCTGTGGTCTCTAGCAGCCATTTACAGAAAGCAACAACCTGAACTCAGCACATTCTCAGGTCTGGAAGGACACGAGAGGCAAGTTCCACATGGGAGAGAGAATAACTGAGTGGAACTTGACAGAAAACTGGAAACCCTTCCAATAAATGGTCACCTGCACACTGTGACTTCTCCCTCCTCCTGCCATCAGCTGGTGTCCTCAGGGTCACCTCCAAAGGGACAACCTGCAGACCCTGCAAAATCCCACCGAGCAGATCTTCCCTGCTGCATTCCCTCCCCATCTCATGCAATCCCACATCTGTTTTAAACTTCTGGTGAACCCTGTTAATTCTTCTATTTATAATTCTTGCATTGAAGCTTGCAGAAAGCCTCGGGAGCATGTTAATATACATCTCTGCGAAAGCAAAATCAATTGTGGCCATTCATGTCAAAACAAAGTAACTGAAAGCATTACAATGCAGGTTCAAATGGATACAGCTGATGAAAAAACAGGACAAGAGACACACAGGGGCATGAACAGCTTCTGCCCTGACATGGAACCAGCAGGCACCAGGCATAATCTGAGTGATTTTCCATGCCAGGAGCTGCTTTGATTTCACCTCTTCAGCACTACAGCCAAGACAGAAGCTGTGGGTATCTTTAAATCCCAAGAATGCATTTCATTATTCCATTTAGACACCATTCCACTGGAAACAGCAGCAGCTTCCCCTTTTTGCACATATCCACAACAAAATCAGTGGAGAATTTTAACACCAGAATCCAACACGCAAAATCAGCTGCTAAACACTGGATATAAAACATTTCCCTTGTTATGTACAACAAGCCTGCCTCCATAGGTGTGGGACCTCACTGCCAGGGACTCATCCCTGCAGAGAAATCTGAGTGATGCCAGGCACCTTTTGGGTGTGCACAGCTCTGTGCTGACTAAACAGAGCTTGCAGAAAGCATTTCCTCCCACATGGGAAGAACAGGGAGTTTTCCTGGCCAGGAATCATCCACTACAGTCCAGAATGAAGCCTTGATTTACCCCATGTCATTTTAGGGTGTTTTATACCTGGATTTAACTGAAACTTTCAAATTTCATCTCTCTCCTTATTCTGGAGGCTTTTAACTTGCTTTCACATTGCCATTTCACTGTTGAGGTGGGTGTGACATTCTCCCCTTTATTTAATGGGTGAAACATTCTCCCCTTTATTTAATGGGTGTGACATTCTCCCCTTTATTTCATGGGTGTGACATTCTCCCCTTTATTTAATGGGGGTAACATTCTCCCCTTTATTTCATGGGTGTGACATTCTCCCCTTTATTTAATGGGGGTAACATTCTCCCCTTTATTTAATGGGGTAACATTCTCCCCTTTATTTCATGGTGTGACATTCTCCCCTTTATTTCATGGGTGTGACATTCTCCCCTTTATTTCATGGTGTGACATTCTCCCCTTTATTTAATGGGTGAAACATTCTCCCCTTTATTGACGTTTCTTTGCTTTCCATGTCCCCACTCCAGGCTCTGACAGTGCCACTCACACACTTTCAGAATGGTTAAAATGCTGCAGAAGTTGAACATTTCTTGGCTGTGGGGATGAGCTGGAGGACCAGAGCTGCAGCACAAGGTTTGGTGATGCTGCCCTTGGAAAAAGGCAGAGGGAACCAATGGATGATGTTAAATGGTGGATGAGCCAGGAAAAAAGGCCTTCAAAGGACTTTTTCTGTTTGCCACCAGCACACAGGGCTGTCACAGAGGAGTGGCACGGCCTGGCTGTGCACAAGCCCTGTTTCCAGCCCACTAATGAGCTGATGCTTATTTGGTCCTTTCCCCTGCTTTTCCATGAGCCACTGGAACGCTATTTTCAGCCATCGGAAATGACACAAAATGTTAAAGCTTAAGTTCTCCTTTTAGCTGAAGTCTGAGGGAGAATAAAAGAGCAGACAAGACAGCTCAGAAACCCTCCAGGCACATGGAGCATCCCAAAAACATTTGGTTTCCATCTTCAGCTGCAAATTATAGACACAACGGATGTGTTTTAAACAAAAAAAGGTCTGTTTGACTTCATTCTTGCAGAAATGCTAATACTGAACCACTGTCAGCAGTGTGAATCAAGAAGGGGACAGCCAGGAAGCAGAATTTCCCTAAGAATACTGAGATCATGGTAATTAATTCATAAAAAAAAAACTACTAGTGGAATATTTTTTCGTGTGTTGCTGTTTAGCAAAAATACCGAGCCTTGGATTTCTGCCTGGCTCCTTTGGAGACAAAGCATCATTTTAATATTCAGCATGCAGATGGCTGAGGGAAAAGGGAGAATTGCTGAGGTGTCCTTTTCTCTTTTAACATAACCACAGCTCACATTCACACTGTTTCCCAAACAAACTAAAGTAATAATTTGTTAGTGAGTATGAACACAGACAGACTGCTGCTTCCTGGAATTGCCTGAATTTTGTTTTCTAGGAAACAATGCTCTTTGGCACAGGGCAGGGCTGGGCTTTTCAACATCCCACAAAGACCCCGTCAGCAGAAGAAATGCAATTGCTTTGTTTACCAGGTTCTAAAAATACTAGAAGCATTCTTTTTTCTTGAAAAAGATGTTTTCTTACACACCCTAAGCCTAACAGATCAAATTATTTAATTCTCTTCCTGAGGATTCAGTAGAGTCCAGGTTTGTTTCAAAATTACAAATTAATACATGCTGCATGTGGCAGGATTTTTTTGGGGGGTTATTATTTACCCTAGGAGTTTGTGTCCCAAATTTTCTGCAGGTACTTGGTGCCAATTGAGAGAACAACCCTGCAGTGACTCCACAGTCCAGCCAAAGTCAGTCAGGACATCAGATGAAATTCTGCATCTCAATGAAAGTATGCAGACAAACAAAGCATAGGTGAAATCCCAGGAGCCTAAACTGACTTAAAGTATAAAACCAAGTAAAATTAAGTTTAGACAGCTACATTCTGTCTAAATTTAATTTTAGTTGTCTTTATACTTTTATACATTTATATATATATATAAATAAAATATAATTGTTGTTATGATCATTATATATAATGAAATAATATATAGAATATAACTGTCATAATAAATCAATCAATAATAAACCATATTTAATGGACAGGTCTGTCCTCCCTGAATGAAACAAGTGATTCATTTAATATCTTTTCTTCAGCTCACCCACTGCCACGTGATGGCAATGACTGAGGGATGGCACTGGAAAGGCACTGGAATATCAAGCAGGAAATTCAGTTCAGTTTTTGCTTTGTACATTTACTCCCATGCCTGTTCAGTAATTCTAACTGTGTGTATACAAATCTCTTCTATTTTTTTAATATGTGTGTGGTCTGAGGGCCATAACATTAATCAGGTTTTTATATGTATTTGTCATTTTGTCTTCCCATCCATATTCTTAAGAAAAGAAAAACACATGCAGCAGTAAAATGAATGTTCTGTGGCTCTTTATAAGAAACAGCCATTTGACATTAGCCCTAAAGCCTTTATCTAACACAAAGTTATTGCACACAAGAAAATGCTATAAAAATAAGGTATTTAGACTCTTGGACAAATCTATGCTGAGAATTCTCTGCCACTGCCAAACACCAGCACTTTCAGCTGACTGAGTGGGAGAGTCACGTCCAGCAGTTTCTGCTCACCCTTTCAGCCCACACCAAACCCTTTTTTTTGGCAATTTTATCCTTTTTAGCAATCAAAACCTTTCCAAAGGGAGTCACAGTGACCAGGGATGTGTCCAGCATCCACTTTGGAACTGGGCAAATGTTACACAGGTATGGATGCCCCTGGACAAGGCAGTTCAGCACCCTACAACCCAAATAAAGAGCTGTTCTTCTCACCCTGAGTAGCTGCCTACTACAGCTGTGTCCCACTACTGCTGGGCTTAGCAGGAACACGGTGCATTTCTTGCTCTCCCTGCCCACCACAAGCTCTAAATAAAATATCATGGCATTTTAAAAGAAGAAATACATCACACAGAATATTGGGAATTGCCCCAATTTATGTTAATTATCAACTGTGGGGACAAAATATCTTACGAGAATTTTGCTGGGTTGGATGAGAAGGATCATGGGGTATGTGAAGAAGAAGTGGGTTTGTACAAATGTCACTTTCTAGCTCACCTTTTTCTGATTAGCTGGTGACAAGCTTCTGTAGAGCTTCTTGCCTTGCTTGCCAGCATTCCAAATGGTGAATGATGTCCAGGAGCTCAGGACTCTGTCCTCAAGGAACCTGACTCGGTGATTCCAGATGGTTTCCCTGGAGAGTTGGAAAAAGGGCAGGTTTTGACCCCTCAAATGTTTAGCATTATTACAGAGCTATGTGCACATCTACACACTCACCTACAGGTAAACATGACCAAAGGGATTAATATAATTTAAAAAAAAAAATCACATCAGAACATCAGACTGCAAATTTCTGAGGGGAACGTAGAAAAGAAGTTCTGTGGAAGTTCTCAGACAAAAACCATTTGGATAGATAGGAAGCAGTAGCTAAACAATTTGTATTTTCAAGAACCCTCCCAGATCACAAGAATATGAAAAGCTGCAGCTGTGGTAATAAAATTCAACCCTACCCACACCTGTGCTCACCTGTGAACTGCCCCAGAGCCCTGCAGTGACACGGGCAAAGCATCTCCCAAAGCCCAGCTGGGCTCCTCCTGTTCCATCTGCCATGGGCTCCTTCTCTGTGCCTGATGGAAAGCTGGCATCTCACAGGTTTAGAAGCCCAGCTTACCCCCAGCACCACAGCACAAATGCATTTCCAGTGTGGATTTGGCTCAAGGCTCCAGTGGGGTGTCAGAGCTCTGGATCAGTGACACCCCCAGCTACAGTCACAGTCCCACACGAACCCCTCACACTGACCAGCCTGCACACACACACATTTCAGACCAAATAACATAGATTTAACTGTAAAAGTGCCCAAGTATTCTTTGGTAATGACACAAACGTGGCTATCCCTTTATTTGAAGGCAACTTCCATAAGAACCTGCATTTCTAGGAACAAAAAGCAGTGGGATTTTCTTTTTCTTTTTCTTTTAAAAAGGAGTATGCCTCATAGAACTTTTAAAAACGTGCTTTAGGAGAAAAAGCAAGCTGGCAGATGTCTGTGTGCAATTACACCTTGAAGTCTTCATCTTTGGGATAACTTCCACAAGATAATCAAGCCAAGTGGTCGAGGTAAACACGGTGACACTAATACCAAATGACAAATCCCACGGCTCTGGAACCATCCCCAGCAAGGGACCATCCAACAGCCTTGGATACTGAAGAGCTGCTGACATCTTCAAAGAGTTCAAGACAGGTTCTCAGAAAGAGAAAACAGTGTCAAGGAAAGCAGTTTGTCATGGTCCATTTCTCCCAACTGGCAAATCCAGTTGGACAACTGTAGCTCTTTTTAATGTTTGTGTGTGTGTGTTCTGCACTACAATGTAATATTTAAGACTACAACATTTATCATGGATTAAAGAAAACTGCCTCCTGTTAAAAACATCTGCTTTATTTCCAGCATTCATTAAATATTCATTAACTAGAAACCCACCTCAGACTTATTACACAGTTTTCTAGAGAGAATAAATTGATTTCCTCAATTTGACAAATGAAACTTCATAACATACATCTCTTGAACATGGCACCTTGAGCTGTAACTTTCTTTCCCAGGAATTCTGATGAACCCCTAGTGGTGTCTCCTTATTTAAGGCAATCTTCAAGTGGAGTTTTTCCATTTTCTTATTTGCATCATTCCTTCACAGCCCCAGTTATGTTCTGAAGACCACACAACCCTCACAGGACCCAGTGACCCCACTTCACTTCAGCACAGCCAGATCCTGCTCAGCACTTCATCACTGATCCTGCTCTGATAACTTGGAAAATACCTCATGCACAAATAAAATTTCCTCACAGCTCCAAGGGTGATGGCTCTGCACCAGCACTTCGACTAATGGGGAAAAAGAAAATTTTGGATTTGATCAAAAATCTCTTCTAATGCAACCACAAGATGAATTCCTGCTGCAAAGCTTTAACTGCTGCTGGCATCCTTGGACACTTGCCTTTTTCCATGCTCATGACAGCGTGCTGCAGTCCCAGAAGGAAAGTTTAGGGAACAAAATATGAAGGTCAAGTATTTTTCCAGGATCACTTTACTGGACATTTTAGAGCTTCTGAGCGCTTTTAAAAAGGAAGATTATTGCTTTGCACATAAATAGAAAGCTTTTAAAAGTGATTTTCCTTTGAAATGTGACTTCAGAAGGGTAACACCATATTACATTCCAAAGGAACTTCAGAGTCTGTTCTGTTGGCTTGAGTGGCACTGGCAAGTTTCTTTTCCACTTGAGTTTACAACATTAAGGAAACTAAAGTAAAAAACCAGGCAGCCTTACAAGGCATGAAAAGAGATTGTAACTAATTTCTAGGTGCAGTGCAAACCCTGCAATCTACCTCCAGGCTCATAAAAGATGTTTTTGTTTTTGTGGAGATGTCCCAGCACAGCAGTATTGGTTCTTCCAGGCAGTTTGTGGTTGCTGTCGAGGCCATGAGAGCCTCAGTGCCCTACTGAGGTAAAACTCAATCAGACCAAATCTCAGTGGTGTTAATCACCCCTGAAGATTTCAGACTGAAGCAGATTTACTGACTCATCTCACCTATCAATGTTATCCTGGAAAAGCAAGCGGGGAAAGCTTGTAAGAGAACTGCACTCTGAAATAAAAGGGTATGAAAGGTATTATACTCCAAATGGTTGTTGTTCAACCACAAGAATACTGTCAGACAGCTTCATTTAACAACACTTAAAAACTTTCTTAAATAAGTACTGTGGGTTGTAAAAACAAAGCCAATCTACCCAGCAGTTGGGATGTTTTGCTTGCATCACTACGAGGCATTCTTATGACAATGCCCACAGAAAAGCATTTGAAGCTCACACCTCCATATTGTGTGTTTTCAATGAAAAAATTAAGTTCCATCACTTTAAAGTCTTGAGTTAACCCTGAAATACTTTTAAGCTGAGGTAGCAGATAAACAAAGAGTGAGGGGAGAATTTGGGAGTGAGCTTTAGAGTGACACTCACTCATCCTTGTGAGAACTCAGTGTGCACAAACAATCCCACACGCTGAGGCAAAGGGAGCTCACAGGTGTCAAAGGAGAGTTTCGGTTATTCCCTTCAGCTTTCCGGTTCACCTAAGTTGCCACTTTTTTTTTTTTTTTGATGTTTCCAGAACAGATAACTGGGATTCCTGCCTCGAGGGATAAGGGAATGCCATTTTCCCATCCTTCACCAGCCAGTGCAGGTGCAGCAGACAGGAGCTGCAGCAACGTGCAAAGGGTAATTAAAGAAAATGCCTGAAACGATCCAGAAGTTGTACAAACCACTACTCAGAGAAGATTCTCACAGCCATTTTCAGATTATGCATTATTACATATTCACAGCCACCAGCAAAACCTAGGAGGTATTATTACTCTGCCTCACTCCAAATCAAGACAGCTTTTCCTACCCATCTCACAAAAGATTAGAGTAAGCAATTTGCAGCAGCTTTAGTACCATGTCCAAGCCTGCATTCAGTTCACAAGATTGTCCTCAGCCACAAGGTGGGACAAAATCCTTCTCACTGTACAAATTTGTTCCCGTACCCTAAAGCTCTTTCTTGACCCCAAACCTTGAAATACGTTATTTCCCCCATTCCTTTCATTTTGTTGTCACAACTTTGCGTTAGGAGTATTTCCACTTGAAATGTCATTCTTGAGGCTTAAATAATTTTCCTAAGATCTGACTTGCCGTGGCCCCTCAATGCTCATCAGTTATGGAGCCTGGGAGGAAGAAGAGGAGCCAAAATTCTGCAGGAGTGAAACGAGGGTATTCATGCAGAGGGTGAGAATGACTACACCGTGTGTTCCTCAGCCCCAAGTAGTTATTACCAGACCATCCACCCAAGTAATGCAACAATGGAGCTCTGTTAAAAATGTGTGGTGACCTAGTGACTGAATACAGGAGTCAAGAAACATCTGCTCTACTCCTATTTTGAAATGAAAGATAATGTGACAATAAAAGCAACATGATTTAATGTCTGAGCTCAGTCAAACCTCGCCATATTGTTGCACTGCCTTTCCCCTCCTTCCCCCAGCGAGGCCACATAAGTGAATCCACAGAGCAAAGACAGATGTACAAGCACTTGAGCAATGCAGAAATACAAGCCCAATATCCTGAACAGTACTGGAATTTTAGGCATGGATTGCCATCCACAGAAATACTATAGATCCATAAATCTGACCTTTTCTCCCTGTGCTGGCCCTGCACAGGGCTCAGGTAACACCAGGCAGGAAGAGGAGCTGCCCAAGTGAGCATCCTCTTCCAGGGCCTTTTTATTGATGGCAGGGTAAGAGAGTTCTGGATGAGAGGTGAGCCTCACCTGATCGATAAACCAGAGCTGCAGGAGCAGAGAACTTCACAATCACAGTGAGAGCTGAAAGAGCAGATCCCTTACAGCCAGTGCTGCATGCAGAATTCAAGGCCCTTACCATCCACAGGAAATTCAGAAATAAATCCTGTTTGAACCTTGGCCATACTGGTGAATAAACTGGTTTTTTTGCCGTTGTTGTTCTGTTGAACTTCATGTGAACTTATTAATTGCTGGACTATATCGTCCCACTGAGTTATTACATTTACACTGTTAATAGGTTCTATTAATGTCTGAGTTCATCTTCAGGTCACGGGTCATTAGCTGAGGCATGGTTTGCATTGTGGCCTATTTTTCATGAAAGGCTTATTAAGAGAGACAGAGACTATCAATGTTAATGGCATTTACTTTTCAAGAATCTAATGAGGTCATTAGTTTCCATGTTTAATTGAAGTGCCAAATGCAAGCATAGAAGATAAAAATGCAGTTGACCTCATCTTAATTTCAGCTCTACAGGAGTATGTTATTCCTCTGTCCTGCCTATTTTTGGCCGTGTGTGTTTGTGCAGGAAATGAAGGAGGCATTCCTGTGCTCACCACAGATCCAAGACCTGGCCTCAGAGCACCTCTGGAACAGCCAAATGTGTGTTTCACACCAATGCCTGTTCCTCTTTGCTCAGATGACACTGGAAGCTTCCAGTGCCTGAAAGCAGATGTTTTCAATAGATTATGTAATTCTGCTTATTTCTGCAGAGCAGTATCACACTCGTTCTGAGCACAGGGGTTCTGAAATTACTGAAGGTGCACTTCACCTTTTCTGTGTAAGAGGGAACTGCTCAGATCTTAGACAGAAGGTACAAACCTTCTTTTCCACATGTATTAAATTTGTCTTGATTCAAAACTTGCAAACTGCTCCAAGGATTAGCTGCATGCCCCAACCACCTGTCTTCATGAGCAGCACTACCTAAAGACAAGTGCAATTTTTTATTGCTCACCTCACTCCAAGCTCACTTTCATCTCGCAGTAAGGTATTGTCGTATATACAGTTCCTTTCTCTCCCCTTTGGCAAGATAAAAATCTATGAATTTTAGCATGTTTTTATTATACATTAGACTTTCTTACTCCAGTATTCCTCACTCTAAAGCCAGCTCTGCTATGGTCTCACATCAATTTAATGTGGCTGTGCAGCACTGAGTACACACAGCCCTAGGGTACAACACCAAATAAAGTGATTTAGATCCAGGAGATATGAAAAGTGGGATTTTGTGTTGTGAATTCCTAGCTGAAGAGAAGTTTCTCAAAATCCAGCAGGTATCCATCACAGACTTTGGATGAAATGACAATGAGAACATTCATATTTCTGCATGCACCTAATGAAATCTAAATACAGACACTGAGCTTCATGCAGATTCTGTCACACACCCAAAACCATTTAATAAAGCAGACTGATGCCTCCAGGGTAAGGGAGAATGCAAATAAGATTTAGTTTCCTGCTTCACAGATATTCTCAACTGCAGATATGTGTTCCAGAAGGATACTAATCATAGGAAATGACCTAAAGCACACGAGTGTTTACAATTATACGTACTAACTAAAAAAATAAAAGAACCAAATGTCACTTGCCAAGCAGTTTTACACACATTTTAGGAAGTCTGAAAATGCAGTGAGGCTTCTTTCCCCCTGAAAGACACCCACATAAACTGAAACCATCACAGGCTGCGAGTGACTGTTGTCTTTGCTGGAAAGAATGAATGATGCACCTTTGGATAAAAATGTCCTGCTATGGTTTTTAAGACTGAAACCAGGCAAAACCAGAAAAAAAAAATCAACTTTCCTACCAGCATCATTTTGATCTCAGACAAGATATTAATTTGGCTGGTGAGTTACTACTTCCAAATTCAAGTCTAGGCTAACTCAAAACGTAAAGATGACCTGGGCCAATGGCAAAAAGCAAAACACCACAGAAAACTGCTCAACAAAACCCACAATATAAAGAAAAAGGCTTCTAGAAAAGCCAGAGCATGCATTAAACAAGGTAGAATGACCAAGAGGCAAATTAGGCAAGACCAAATTTAAATCATAACCTTAAACCATCGTGATGAGTCCATTAATCTCTTTTTGCTCAATGTGCACTTCAGTCTCCAGACACAAACACCCAACCCTTCAGAACTCGGGCAGCAAACAAGGACTGAGCCAGGAGAAAGAGCTCTTGCACAACCTCATGTTTGGAAAGCCACACCAGATATCATCCCCAGTAGTACCAGCAGGAAGCCAAGAGGAAGAGCAGCTCTCCTGATTTCTTAGAACGAGACAAGAAAGGCGCCAATTTGGACAGGCACCCTGCACATCTGAAAGAGCTCACAGCATTTCCACATTCCCCCAGGATGCTGTAACTCAGGGTGCTTGTGCCACACAGCCTTGGAGATCTGAATAAGCAACAGCTTGCAGTAAATTCAAAACAAATTAATTTCCAAGAATTAGATGCTTTCCCACAGATAGAAGCAAAAGTGCTTCCAAGAGTTTTTAGCGTCCCATAATGCGTGGCTGAAAAGTTGGTCACTAACTGCCAAAAGGATCACACAGTAAAAGAGGAAAAAAATAGAAATTTAGACATTTCAACATGTGTAAAAAGGAAAATAATTTATCTCATGCTTGTTTGCAAAATCAAAATCATATGTACTATTTGCTTGAATGACCTTTTCATAGTTAAATGATTTTATATAGATATTCAGATTTATAAAGATCTGTAGTGACATTAACCATGAGTGTGCTCATGGTTATTTGTTTTACACTCTGTACAGCAATACAGAGATGGACAACAAAAATGTACACAGAAATGTTCATTTGTACTGGTCAGTTCTACAAAGCCATAAAAACAGGATTGGCTGAAAAGTGTACTTATATCATTAATCAGTAAGGAAACAGTTTACTTAATTACCACTGTGATTCTGGCATTCCTAAAGGACAGTACAACCCATGTAACTTTTTATTGATGTCAATGCATAAGAGAAGGGAACAGCTTTGGCTCAGCTTGCAGCATGTGGAGGAATCAGCAATTTAACACCTCCTTTAGGGGCTGAGCAGCCCACCAAAGGCAGCAGGCAACAAAAGCAGCTTACAAGGAAGCACCTGAGATAATTACTCCTAAACATCCCCAGGGATTTTTCAAACCTCATTATCTGATTTAGGTGGTTTAGACCCTTTAAAATAAGAAAATAATATATGTAAAGGCAGCACATTATTAGATTAAAGGTTTGGGTTTGGTCTGGTTCTTTTTTTTGTTTTTCGAAAGATGGTTTTTGTTGGTATTACAAGTTTCTGTTTACTTTTTAAATATTGAGGCAGCTGATTTTGAAATTAAGCCATAACATTTCCACTTTTTTTTTTACCTTACGGTGCATACGTCAAAAACCATGGGAATGACATTTTTACATATTAAAAATCCTAATAAAAAACCCCCAATGCAGTTTCACCATCTTTGCTGCCAATGATCCAAGACAAAACCAAGTTTAAATTCTCCTGGAAAGCACAGCTTACTCTAGCACAGAGTGAGTGGCAGCCTGGGGGTGGTACCGGTAGAGCAGGAGGCAATGGTTCACTCGAAACACTCCACCACCCTTCTGGAGATGTTCATAAAAAAACAACAAATCCTCTGGGACACCCTGCAACAGAAAACAGTGATTAGATCAGATGCTGAAGATCAGTACATCTGAAGATTTTTAATTTCTCTGCCAAATGAATATGGTTCAACAGAATTGTTACTCATAATAATGTAAATATTATACATATTTACATAATAAATGTAATTATTATATTGCATAATAGATGTGCAATATATATTATATATAATAATAAATGTATTATTATATATAAATATATAATATTTATATATTATATAAATATATATAAATGCAACTTTGCTGCTGCCCAGGGAGGGTGTGGACTCCCCAAGGCCTGGCTGGATGGGGCTTGGAGCAACCTGAAAGTGTTCTGGAGGTGAAACAAGAAGATCTTTAAGTTCCAGCCCAAGCCCATCTCTGATTCTGTACTATTATTTGTGTGTGTCCCAATGAGCTAAAGCTGCTGAATGAGCAGTACTATTTATAAATGAAGTGCAAGGACAGAGGAGGAAAAATTAACATCATCTCATTTTGACAGGGATCTCAAGCTTGGTGCAGGTGAATCCAAAAGAAAGAGAAAGCCAGCTGCTAAACAGTTTGTGCAGCCTGAAGTTCCATGTAAGCAAATAATTTGTACTGCAAAGGATCAGTGACTTAAGAAGGGTTTTTTCTTTGTCATTTTACTGGAATTCTCCTTCTTTCTCTGGCTGTCATACAAATGCTGGTCTCTAGTTAGGAAAGGTGACTCAGGCCCCATAATGACAGACTTCAATAAAAACTGCAATAAAGGCAACCTCAGAATGAAGCAACATCTGAAAATAATTTTTTATTTTTCTTGAGACTTCCTTCCATGGTACATTCATCCTTATAGGATTGCACCCACTGCTGCTGAAAACACCACAGGATAAAAGTTCCTGCAGTTGTGGATCTAGCAGGCTCTAGGAAAAATAAGGGATTTCACAATCATTTCAACATTTTCCACTTAAAAATCAGAGAATCTTCATGCAAGTGATGCCGTGTCAGAAGGGCAATTATATGGCTCATAGCACTCAATTCCATTTTGTGGCATAGGAAAGCATAAACCCACCTTTAAAGTCCTCCACAGAAGGTAAAAAAAGTAGTGTTTATTTATATTTTGCAAAGCTACAGCTTCTTGAAATACTAGAACATTTCATTCTTTCATCTTTAAATACAGATATTTCTTCCCTGCAATACAGTGTTTAAAAGGAGACATGGTTTTTACCAGACTAAAAAGCTCCCTTTTATAAAACCAGATGGGTCAAAGAAAACATTTAAGCGTCGCAACAACAAAAAGCTGAAAGCTAAAATGACAAAATTTTAAAGGAAAAGAAGGTGGAGAGATTGAAAGACATTTGTTTCTGTAGACAGTATGACACATATGAATAACCAGGTCATAAACCCCAACCTCAATCTTAACCATTCTATTTCAACACAGAAAAATAATAAGAGTACAAGTAAAAAAAAAAAAAAAAAAAATTGAAAATTTTCCCTATTACTACAGCCTCTGAGTTTCTTCCATAATTAACAAAATGAGATTCTCTAATTACAGTGCTGGGCTGGCCCTCTAGTTATGAGAGCAATACAGTTCAGTGAGTATTTCTCATCCCCACCAGGCTGAGTAGCCAGAGGGGTGTGGGAGTGGAAGAGAAATGAGACAAAAAACTCCCTGAACCCTGGAAAACAACTCCAGACCACTCAGCTGAACATGAGCACCTTGGGAGAAATCAGAATCCAGTCGAGCTCTGGGCTCTGCAGCTCCTGCCTCACTCTGATCCATGCTCCCACATTCTGAACTGAATGGATTCTGCTCACTGAGGGCAGCTCATCTGCAGACATTGGTTGTCTTTGTAGACATTTGTCTGACTTCTGGTTTAAGAGCTGCAATGCAGAAGAAAACTATAAGGCAACTTCATACAATTTATGTGAATCTACTTTGAAAGCCACAAAAGAAATCTGGGAGAAGCTGGAGTGGCAGGAGCAATCACAGTCACTAAGAATACAGGAAAAAGACAAAATCAATTTCTTTCCATTTATCTTGTAGCCCTTTCTACATTTTCCTTATTGTGGACTTTAAGGGAAATATGAGCCAGCAGAAAAGTTCAAACCTTTTTCTCTTTTGCCATCACACACTAGACCACGTCTCAGGGCACAAGTGCAGCAGATATCAGCTTGCTGCAGGAGCCACATTTGGATTCAGACCTCTGATTATGTCACATCCATCTCAGCAATTCCTTCTCTGTTGGATAAGCATTTCCATTATTCAAGACAACTGTTAATATGTATATTTAAGAAGAGTTACTGCAGAAGTAAAAGGATCTTTCAAAAAACACTCTTTGGTTCCAAGGGCTCTTTTGCTTTCCTTTATCTGGCAGAAATTCTCTGGAATAAAGTGCACTCAGGCCTAGGAAGGAGCAGGTGCCTTGCACTGCTCAGCAGTGGCCTCTCACATTACAAAGGAGCAGCAGTGCCACGCATTTTTCAGAGGAAAGATGTTGCCTGTGTTATGGATCCTGCAGGGATGGGACTTCCTACGGCTCTTGAGCGTGTAAGTTTGCTGCAACACAAGAGCTCCTTCCCAGCTGAGATCTATTATTGGATCCAGATGGCATTTTAAACACCAGGAATCTTTGTGAAACAGCACAACTCTGAAAGACAAAGCTGTTTAACCACTAAAGGGATATTTTAATGTATTTTTTGAAAATGAATATCTATAGCTAAAAGCATCAATTACTAACCCAGCATTTCAGCAAGAGGCTACCACATCAATAGCTTTCAGCAACAATAAATACAATTAAATTGCACAGTTTACATGTTACTGGGACTACATGCAGAATTTTCCATATTATAGGCAAAACCAACCGCACATCCTCTGCTGCAAAAGGGCATAAACTAATTACAGCTCCCAGAGAAAATTACTGCCCCTGCTCTGCTCTAAGCAGCCCAATGCAAAATCATAGCTCACTTTTTCACATTCCCACTGAACAGGGGAAGGGTTTCTGCTGACCCAGTATTTTGGGCAGGTACTGCTTGCTGTGCTGATGGTTGTACAGGTGAGGGGACTGATTTTTTATAGACCATGGGGTGTCAAGCAGAACCCTAATTTGAGTTAAAGTAACTCCTTGTTCAGGGATTAACTAAATTATCTATGATCCTTCTCTTGCCATCTTCTATTGCTCACTGTTCTCACTCCTGGCAGCAAACTGTGCTCCAAGTGCAGCCACCCCAACATTTTCCAAAGAGGTTCCAGCATCCCCCAACAAGCAATTCTGGCTACAACTCTTGCACCTCCACCATCAGTAAGGATGAGGAGCATCAGCAGGGATCTTTCCAGGGCAAAGCCTGGAGGTTTTCCTGAGGGGTTTATTACATTCCCAGAGGGACCATCAGCAATTTTTGGAGGAGTTTTAATGCAAGTGATGCTGTAACCATGAACACCTGCTGAGGCCATGCTGGGATGACCAACAGCAGCACTTCAGGCTGAGAGCAGCCCTTTCATTTGCTCATTTGGACAGAAACCACCACGGGGCTGTAGAGGCCCTGTGTATATGTATAATATACAAATATAAAAGCTGCCTTTTACTGCTAAACCAGAATAAATCTGTCCCAACTTCCTCACCCATCCCCACTCAGCCTTGTCTCAGCCCCACCTGACCCTCCCTGTCCCAGCTCACAGGCACTCTGGCAGAGGTGGCAGATCCTTGTGAGCACAACCAGCAGAGATTTAGCCTGTGCAGAGAAGTCTGACTGGTGAAAATGGGAGATCTACCAGTATTTCATGAATACATGCACTTATAAGAAACAGCAATGACAAATAAGACAGGAGAAGTACATCAATCCACAGGGGGAAAAACCTTCAGGTTTGGAAAAGCTTGGCCTCCCTTTGGGTCAGGGGCATCAAGGAAAACTGGGCTGCAACATTTTGTAGAACAGTCAGCACCATCAGGGTAACTGCTGGACAGAAAAAATTGCTTTACTTCCTCAGAGGAGCCTAAAATTGGTGAATGGAAAGAATTAAATAGCTATTAATAGCTTTTCTACAGGATTATCCAGGATATTCTTAAGTCTCCCTTTCTGCAGATCTGTCACTTCATTTCTTGGCTCTCATCCAAATCATGCCTTTCCATCATTTTGCCTTGATTACAGGACCCAGAGCCCATTAGGATTTATTTTATTGTTTAGGAAATAACAGGTTAAAGGAAACTCCAAAAGGTTGCTTTCATCCAAATGTCTTGGCACAGAGAAAAGCAGTTAAACAAAGATGATGGGGAAGTCAAGTGGAAGGGAGGTGGTAAATTGTAAATGATATTTAATAACAGACCAGCAGAAAATACAATTAGACACAGGGTATGGGGTGAATTTTCAAATAGCTTATAAAGTGGAATTAATCACAGGCTCCACCACTTTTTCTCTGCTTTTTACATCAAATATTGATCTCTGTTCAGCCTTAACTATATAAAGCCAAAAGCAAACAAAAAACCCCCAGCAGTGCCTGTACTTTATCCCAGTTTTCCCCACAGCATCCTGATAGGTTATTTGACAGACTGTCAGTATTTTAGTTCACGTTCCAAAAAACCAAATTCCTCCTTGGCCTTTTACCTCTGAGGCATTATTGTAACCACTTGCCTTTCTGAATGGAACGAGATTTGTGTGCTCTGGCAGGCAAACATGGAAAATTGCATCAGTGAGTGCCTAACAGCCACATTTACCTCAGAGCTTTCCACATGGCCTACAGTCTCCTGTGCTCAAAAGGATATTTTGACACCTCCTCAGTTCGTGTTTTTTGTGACCTTTTATCACCAAACTAGAATGAAACTGAGCTCCAGACACTTTGTTCAGAGGCACAGCTTGCATTCAAAAAGGCTGGTGCTTTACAATGCACGATTCCATCTGGGGCTCATTAAGAATAATTTCCCCCTGTTTACACTTTGAGATTAGCTCAGAACTTTAAGGCTGTCACTCCATTTTCAGTTTTCATACACTTAGAAAGGAAGGATAAACACAGGGGTGACAGGAAATTTGGAACCCAGTTGCGGTAAGATTCTAGAGAAAGAGACAAGTTTGGCACGTAACAGTTGTGATGTGGAGAGGAATTCTGCCTGGAGAGAGCCAAGACTGCAATTTTCCACCCTTGCATGCAGTGGAGCCTGCAGGGTAGCAATGCTCATTTGTACAGCTCTCCTGGTACTCAGCATTTCTGTCAGACACGTGAAAAAATAACTTTTCTTCCCTAATAACAGGCACCCCATCTCCCACTGCACACGACTGGGGAGCTCCCCACCCTAACAGATGACACAGCTTCAAAATCTGCTTTTCACATTAGGCCAGAACACGGGCATTTTTCTCCTCAGCACAATTTTTTTGTGATGCTTTTGGACACGGTTATAACTTTTTAACAATGGTGCTACTTATTAGGAGACACCAAAAACTCCAGCAGCAAAGCCACCCGTGGTAATGTCACACACCAAGTGTCACATGGGAGTTCTGGAGGGTTTGGGAAGTGCTGCTACTTTTTTCCATAGGGATGTACTGCAGTCTTTATAGAAAATTGCTTAAAAGATTATTTTCTTTTAGTTTCCTCAAAAAAGAAAGCCACAAATATGGTTCATCGTGGGACTCTTCTTCCAGCAGGGATACTATTTGAAATGTCACCTTACAGGCTTGTGACCATTTCCACTGTATTATGAACACCATCAGAGCTTGTTAAAATTTTTCAGTATTCCTGCTTTAATTATAATTTATCAGAGATTGCATAAATAAAATCTCTTTTATTATTTAACCATTTTAGTTAACTAATATATAAAACAAACCTGTTAGGTTCTTTGAGACCATTTATGAATATATTATTTTGTTTGGACCTAAAAGGAATACACTTCCAACAACTGCAGATCTTGATCAGAAAGAACTTCATTTAAAAAATGATGGAAAAAACCTGTTTCACCTAAAGCCTGAATGACTGGAGAGAGACACATATCTACCTGGAATAAAAAAATGATTACACCATAGCACATCTATTTGTATTTGATCACTCCACCCACTCTGTTACCATCAACATCAAATCACAATTTCTCCCATGAAAGAATTACCCTCCATTCTTTCCTAAGCACTGAAATACGAAGAACAGGTGTTTGGATTTCATTTCAAATGAGAAATGCAGCTTTTTGGCAAGAAACAGCTCAGCAAATGGAGAAGGCCAAGACATGAGATTTGCTGGCCTGTTCTGTGTTTACTTCCAGCAATGTGACACTGGCAAGTCTCATGAATAAACATTAACTCAAGAATGGAGATGGAAGTGATCAGATTAATGCAGATCCTGGCTCAGCTCAGAACCTACAGGGATGAGACCCTTCAGAGTATTCTCAGCTCTGCTGACACACGAAGGTAAAACTTCCCTTGTTTTAAAGGGTTTCTTTTCAAATGAAAATGAACGAGTTAGAGCAATGCTAAATACTTTGTAACACTAAATGCTCAAGATTTAAGGCTTGATTTTGTGTCCTCTAAACCCTCAGCAGACAAAGGTTTGACTTCACTGCTTTGCTCAGATCTGTCCTGCTCTTGGGCTATTTTTCTGAAGGTCTCTGCACCAGCCAGAGCCTGAGCTTGGACATGTTGGACACCTCACAATAGGGACAAACAATAAGTTCAACTTATCACTTGTAATTCTCCAAACCAGAAGGACATATCATGCATTGTGGCTGAAAAATCATCAGGATTAAGATTGTCAGTGTACTACAGCTGAATAACCAGTGGCATAGTTCCTACACAATTACACAGAGACAGCAAAACAGAAAAAACCCTACTCATAAAAACAAAACAAGGAGGGAAAAAAAAAAGCCAAAATGAAAAGCAAAAAGCACAGAACAATAGTCTATTTAACTTAACCTCTTGAACTTTATCATTAGGCTTGCTGTTCTATTGTTGCTGATGCTTTAACTTGCTTGCTTGCTTTCTGGAGCTTACTAACAACACTCAAGAAGTCAAACATCCTTCAGAGAGTGAAAATACAATGATAAGAAATAATAATAAAGAAGAAATAAAGAGCCTGGGTCAGTAAATGTAGATTGTATTGGGAGCCAGGCAGCATTCCCAGCTCTTCCACTCACCCATCATGTAATTAAGGGCAAATCTTTTCACTGCTCTAAACAATTCAGTTCGCTCTCTGCTGTCTCCTTATAATTATAATTTTTTGGCAGCCCAAAGAATAATATTTGTATATCCTCATACATACACACACATGTATATATATACACACACTGCATGGCACTGAAGGGCTTCATTTAAAAGCTATAAAAATAATAATCATCATCATCATCTGTTGTAGTTTAAATAATTAAATAGGAAATAGCCTTAGCAGATTTGTTTTAGAGTGCTAATAAATGAAAGCTTTGGGGAAAAAAAAAATCAGAGCCACCCATTTTAGCCCTAAAATCTCACCAAAACCACTGGAAGCAAAATCTCTCAGAACCAAACCACACAAAATGGATCCAAATGTGTTTGAATTAGATCTATTTGCCAACATATTTCAACTACCACAATAAATACTGCTAACAGGCACCCAAGGATTTTATTCCATAAACACACTGATGAGCTTAAAGCAATCAAACTGAACTCATACAGGAAATTCATAAAGACAAAGAACACCTAACTGGCAGGGGAAAAACACTTCTGAGACCACAGGTGTTGAATTTGTAACCTCTCAGCTCTGATCCTTGAGGAGAAGCTCATTAAAATCTTCCAAGGACAAGCACAAGAGCTAAGATTGACAAGAGGACAGGTGGATAAATGAGCTTTTGTGGTAATAGTTTCATGGCCCTTCTTTTTTCCTCTCAGGGATATAAATCTGCCCCCTTAGATGAAGGTGCTTTTGTCCCTCTGCCATTCTGCACCTTTTTTCCCTCCCAACTTCTTTCAGCAACCCACCTCACCCAGCTCATAACAAAACTAAGGGCTCACCTGCTTTTAGCATCTATTCCAGGGATCAAAGAGGAGCTTTGGTGTCTGAAACCTTTAATTTTTTTCCAGGTTTGCTGGCACATCCAATAGATGTGTTCCAATGCCAACCTCAGGTAGGTCCTTCCATCACCAGGGTTATTCCCAAACAACTTCAGCTGGTTGGAGACTGGTTTTTAAAAAAATTGTATGACCCAGGTCTTTTAGAGCTCAGTTTTCATCTCCATCCCTTCCCTATTGCTCCTGAATAACAGGGAGAGGCTGTTAAACAAAGGGATGGCTCCTGGACTACAGATCACCTGCAGCACTCACCTTTCCACCCTCATCAAATCTTCCCACATGAAAAAACCATTCTCGAGAGCAGAACCAGGTTGGCATGATCACAGTAGGCCCATGGGAGGTGAACACCTAGGGAAAAAAGAGGGGGAAAAATCCAGTCAGTTAACAAAATGTCAAACCCAGCAGCTGCTGAGGAACGAAGCAGACCTCACACATCCACCTGAAATTATGCCTATGCCTAACCTTCAGCAGTTTTGAACACTGAGAAGAGCCAGTGCTGGAAATTTAGCAGGTGTTTAGTGTTGGAAGTGCAGTGTGTAGCAGAATCTGCCAGGCACCACAGCCCAAAAGGTGAGTCTGGCTCCTGCTCCATATTCCATGACCTTCTCTTCTCCCCCAAGCTGTAACACGTGCAGAGTACTTAAAGCATTTTTCCAAATTTAGAGTATGACACTGGAGCTGGCACTTTATCAGTAATGATGATGTTAATATGGAAATGAAGTAATTGAGAAGAATCACGGAAAGTTCAAGTTCTTAAACTGAACTCTACAATTTCTGAGCACTGATTTTTTTTCCATTTTATATTTGTTATACATATATTAAGTGTGAACTTTCACTGGAACTTTCTTTTATTTCTGCCAAAGACACTTAAATCCTAATGAAGCTTGAACAAGTTAAAATGCAATTTGTTTTAAACATCACCTGAGTACTGTGGATTTGCTACCCAGGGGTACCTACAATTAAAGGTTTTTGGAAAGGAAGAGCCTTAAGTAGAGAAAAGGGAGTAACTATTAAGTTCATCTCTTCGTTTGTGACAGCCAAGAACTATACAAATGGGTCTTGGAAGCTTCAAACAAACTTGTTGCAGGTATAACTGTGAAATAAGCCAGAATGTGGACGACAGGAGGTAAACTGGTTCTTTCTTTTGCACAAGGTGAAGCATCCAGGCAAAGAGGAGACTGAACTTGTCAAACACAAGGTGCAAAGTGAAGGCAGGAGCTTGTGCCTGCTTCCAGCAGAGACAGGAACTGCAGAGCACACCCTGGGGCAGGAAAAAGCAACTTCACAACTGCTGTCAGTCAAGTGACAGTGCTGATCTGTGAGCTGGCAATTTCACGTTACAGTGGTAATATTGATAATATTACAGTGGTGATATTCCTGTACACCTGAAGCTCTTCAGTGAAGAGTGTACATTTGTCACACGCAGCTCAGCAGCTACATTTTAAAGGTGCTCCTCTTGATGTCAGCCACAGGGAGCTCCACAAACTCTTATGTTTGGCCACTTCAATTTCCACAGACAAACATGGACTTAAAACCAAATAAAGACATTTAAATCAATTGTCCAAATTAATTAAATCGGAAATCCAATCAAAATTTGGCAGATGATCTACTCCCACTTTTCTAACAGGCATTTGCCCAAACTTCAGGTGAAGCACACAGCATGCCAACAGAACTTCACTGTCCCTAAAAGAATCTGGGGGTGGCTCATTTTCATCCAGACACTTCAATTCTAGGCACTAAATTCATATTTAATCAGAACAATTCTATCACCTAATGTCTTAACTCATCAGCAGGTTGTGCAGAGACGAAATACTCCAGTTCAGAGGTGTTAAATGGAAAATTCTCCCCCCAAGAGTCAGTGGGAGCTGAAAGAGTCAAAACAACCCCAGAAAAGCAGAGCAGCCTTGATTACTGGGTACATGGTTATTAGCTGCACATTAATTACAGGGGCAATTGAGTATGGCCTGAACCCAACAATGACCAAAGAGTAATCCCAAAAGAAAACAGCAGCAGGGAGAAAAGCCAGGCCAGAGGGCATTGCATTGAATCTCATTTCTGAAAGACACAAAAACTTCAAAAGAAAGTCTTGAGCCCGTGGGTACTTGTGAAATGTGTCTGGAGAGGCCAGAATGGCATTTCCTCAGAGCTGCCAGGTCCCTCAGGGATCAGGAATGCACTTCACCTCTGAGCTGGAGCTTCAAGCCATCAGCTGTGCCCCCACGTGCCAAGAGCATCCCTCCCAAACATCCCAGATAACACTGACACAGACACTCCAGTGAAACCAGACAGAACAGGTTATTTCACAATAATAAATAATTATACACTGCTATTTTATAATAAATATTTTATAATATTAATTAGAATTATAATAACTACGTTATTAAATTATATTATTTATTACATTATAGTTAATGCATAATAAATATATTATTATAATTCTATTATCTACATGATGAGAGTATGTTATTTTATAATAAAATAATTATTTTATATATATTATTGTTATTTTTATTATGAAAAATTTAAGAGAAAATATCCAAAAGGCACTGATGTTAACACAGATGATGATTTTACAGCAGACCATCCCACACTGCATACACTGATGTCTCCCCTAAATGCAGCAGAGTTCTGTGGCTCACTGCTCCTCTCAGCAGAGACACCAGAGGAGAATCACACGGGCAAAACAGAGACTGACGATGGCACACATGATTTCAGGATCTTATCCTTCCAGAAGGTCTTCAAACCTGCCCACACAGCAGCTGAGAGCCAATGAACTGGCAAATAAACTTTTCCTACATGAACACTTACAGTGCAACATCAAAACTGACCTTAGGAAATTTATTTGTGCTGCTGTCACAAAGGACAAATTCACACTACCTTGTGCCTTGCTATGTAAGAATAACTTGTGTGAAGCTGAAATTCTCTTTGTTGTTTCTTGGTCTTCAGCTGAACCTCCTGATCCAACAAACCATAAATCAGCAATGCTACCACACAGGAGGATGTAGGAAAGCAGGGCACCAAGCAGAGAGCACAAAACCCTTCTCAGCAGCAGCAGAGATGATCCAGAAATAATCTTTAACCTGATGAAACTGCTAGAAATCTCCACTTACACCACATTTACATTAAGAGCTCTCCTACTCATCCTGCCTGTGGCTGCACACCCCAGTCACAGCACTGGCACTCTCCTGACCCCAGGATGGATCAAAGCACCACATCAGTAAAAAGCCATTATTTTCCTTGGTTTTAGTGTTAGCTTTCTACAGCCTTAGCTCTCTGAATCAGTTCACTGTGGGGTCAGAGCAGCAATACCACTGACACACTGGAGAGGGAAGGAAAAGCTTTGGAGAGGAAAACAAGCCCTCCCTTCTTGGTCACTGCCCACAGCTCATGAGTCCAGCTGAAACATAAAACTGCATCCTCTGAATACCCACCCTGATGGGAGGAGAAGTGGCCAGGAAAAACACTAACAACTGTTCTGAAACACTGAGGCATCTGCCAAACTTCTGAAAACCACCTTCCAGAGCTTTTGAAATTTTATCTTCAAGCGAAAAAAAAAATAACCTCAACCTTCTGCACTTTGGAAATTCTATATTTCACCTTGGTTTAGTCTGATGGGAAAGTTTCCTCTGTATTTCTTTTTTGTCTATTCTTGTCATAAACTCTTGCCAAGGTGTTAAAAAATGGTCAAATTGCCTTGTTCCGTGATAAAAACTGCAATTTCTCACTTTGTGAGACTGACACTCCAGATTTTATCCATAAATCTTTTAGATTGCATGGACTGGAACAAGAGAAACAAAGAGGACATGCTAGTCTTAACTTGACAATCAATCAAAAGCTGAATTTGAATGATGGTGCCATCAACTATGTTTAGTTTTCTTGGAAATATCTTCCAACTGTGCTTTATAAATGTCTTGTGTCACCTTGGAACACCAGTGGGTTTCCAGACCTCCTTGAGGAATTAATTCAGTATTCTGAGAGCAGGTTGGACCTGTGAACCTTTCACACACAGCTGGATTGAAAGATTAATGTTTATTAATAATACTTGTTATTAATTACAGAACACTATATGCTGTAAAAAAATCTCAATATTGAATATTTCATTAATTAAAGATCAGAAGATGAAGGTATAAATCTGTTCAGATTTTGAATTCCTGCAGAACAGTGTTGTGATAACCTAACTGGAATCCATCTCCAGATGATGGGCACAAATTCCTATTTCAGCATCTGATTTACTAAATTATTTAGAACTTTTATAACTAGCTGGGTTTATTCCAAGGATCAAGTAGCAAGTAATTGAAACTGGTTTGTTCTTGTTCATTGTTTGGCTATCGAATTACATCCAACTGTTACACAGATACTCTGAAGCTAAATCTAAAGAGCACAAAGAGCTGATAAAGTGACTTTCATTGTTGTGTTTCAAAGCTGTCAGCAGCACATGGAACTCTGGTTCCCACTGATGCTCAGCGCAGGCCATGCCAGCATTCAGTGCAAAACTTCAGTTCCAGTACAGGGAAAGGCATTTGTGTGTTTACAGAAACTTCTCAAGGAAAGTTCTCTTTCCTGGAGCAGCAAATCAAAGTCTAACAGCAGTGAGAAAAGCAGATATGCAGATGGTGAAAAAACTTTGTCACATCAGCTATCATCGTGCCATGCAGGACACAGGGGAAACCAGGCAGCTCACAGAAGCAACAGATTTAATTTAATTTAATTGAGCAAGGAGCTAATTCCCCCAAACACACCACACATTTAATTCTACTTATGCTACAGCATTTTTCCAAAATTATATCCACACCAATCAAGGATTAGACACATTTGTTGAGACAAATGAAGCTTTCAAATATCCAGGGGAATACATTGACACGTTAGAAGGTGAAAGAGAAGAGAACAAACCCCATGGGGAGGGCCACAGTGATTCTGTAAGCAGAGCACGGGCTGAAGGGAATCATTCCTGACCTTGAAGCAATGATGAGTTAAGATATCTGTGCATTAATTCAGCAATGAATGTAGCAGGACCTTGCTCCTGAGGTGTACCAGGTTTACATCCACAATCAGTCTGTGTGTAGTGTGAGAGAAGAGGTACAGAGGGTAGGGAAGAGACTCTTCCTACTTCAACAAAGTACTGGTCAAAGAGGATTTTTCAAAAGAAAATAACTACAATGAGCTTTATGAAGCTTTTAGGAAAAAAATTTGGAAATTAGGAAATTGAAATTAAAAATTGAAATTAGAAAATTTGGAAAAATGACTCCATTTTTACTGCATATTTACAGAATGCAGTAAAATAAAGCATTCTGCAGCAAGAGGTTGTCTTCTTGGCTTGCTGTTTGTGCTGAGGTTTTACTACAAAAGAA